TGAGGCGGGAAAAGAGTGCACAACTTTGTTCATATGAAAACGAAAATAAAAGGGATGGAACTTAAGGAGTTGCAGTGGAGGGATCTCTCGTGCCTTGCTTGCTGGATGAGGAGATTTTCAGGCTTTCAGCGTAACATTGCCGAGCTGTCTTCTGATTTGCTTTGACGGTGATGATTTTACCGTCGTTCCCTGGGAACTTCATGGTGAGGTGTGGGGTGGATACCACCGCTCCGAGCTGATTCAGGGTCGGCCTCCCGATAATGATGTTGTAGGAGGTGTTGGCTTCCACGAGGAGGTATCGGACCATGATCCTTCTCGTGTCCGGAGGTGTGCTGAAAGTTGTCAGTAGGTCCACGTATTCGCGAGGGTGAACTCGTTCACCTGCAAAACTGACTAGGGGCTCCGTGTGAGGTTGAATGAGGGAGTGGGGGATGTCCAGCCTGAGGAATGTCGGCCAGTACAGGACGTCAGCCGAACTTCCTTGGTCAATGAGTGTCTTCTACACCTCCCAATTGGCGATTTCGACGACGATCACCATGGGGTCATCTTGGTTGGGGCTGACACCTGCGTAGTCCACGTTGGAGAAAGAGATCGGTGGCGTGCTTAGGTGCGAGGCCGAGGTGGTAGAGCTGACGCAGTTGATGCTGCGAAGGTGCCTTCTCCAAGCCGAGCTGCTGGCGCCTCCGCCAGCGAACCCGCCCGCAATTGTGTTGATTACTCCTCGTAAGGGAGCTGACTCTGTCTCTTGGCTTATCTCGGCTTGCACTGCGCCGGTAGGATTTTGCTGGGAGCTTGGGTGTGGGTTAGTGCGAGCTCCTGAACCACAGCCCCTGCCGCGTCCCCGGCCACCATAGCCGCCTCTGTTACCCTACTGCCGCTGGATGTATTGGCCGAGGTGGCCTGCTTGAATGAACTCTTCGATGCGGTCTCGGAGCGTGCGACATTCGTCCGTGGTGTGCCCATGGTTCTTGTGGTACCGACAATGTTTGGCCAGTGGTGGGAGGGCTAGCAGATTGCTGTTGCTGGCTTCCTTCAGGATGTGGACTCTAGGTGCGTTCAGGGGGGTGTAGAAATCATATCTCCCCTCTTGGCCTGCCCTAGTCGACTTCTTGAACTGACTGTCATTGTTGACTTTTATTTTGTCCTTGTGTCCTTGTTCTGGTTTGACCTGAGCTTTCCCACGAACTTGGTCGCGGAACGCGGAGTGCTCCTCCATCTGGATGAATCCAGCTGCGCGAGCCTGGAGCTCGTTCATGTCGCGGGGGTGTTCTCGACATAGGCTGTCGACGAAGGGCTCGGGTTTGAGTGTCATGAGCATGACATGCAGGGCGACCTTAGGATTTAGATTCCTGATTTTGACAGAGGTGACGGCTAATCGTTCCATGAATGTTCGGAGTGATTCGTCATCGTTTTGCCTAAGATTGGCTAGGGCGGCCAAAGTGACTTGGTGAGGTCGGCTCGTCGCATACTGCGCTGTGAATCTTCTGACTAGGGTGTCAAAACTTTCGATGGACCCGGCAGGCAGTTGGGTGTACCAGGTGAGTGCTGCTCCTTTGAGCGAGGTCGAAAAGACCCTACACAGAATAGCGTCATTGTTAGTGTAGAGGTTCACCTGGGTTGTGTACTGGTCGATGTGTTCGTCCGGGTCCGTCGTGCCATCGTAGCGATCGAGGTGGAGAGGTTTCCACCCATGGGGGAGCGATATCTCCATGATGCCATCCACAAAGGGGTGGCGACGGAAGGTTACTTGTTCTCCTGCAGCGTGGGTGGGGGCCTTGCTGACTTCATGGACCGACCTGTGCGTCGGTGCGTGGGATGGATTTGTAGCAGGCCGTGGGGTTGGTATTCTAGTCACAGTCCGGGGTGGGGAGACGGAGTGTTCATCCTCCGCATTGTTACCCCGGGGGATTTGAGCCCGGATACGCTCATTGTCCGCTCGTAGTGCTGCTAGGTCAGCCTCATTAGTGGCCCGCATTGCCGCTAGGTCGGTTTCGTGCTTGGCACGCATGTTCTACAGGTCAGCTTCGTGCTGCTGCCGCATTTGTTCGACCTGGTCTACTAGTCTCCTTAACGCTGCTTCATTGTCCATGGTGGATGAGTGGTTTGCATTGTTTGTTGCTCGTCTGCTATGGCTTCTGGTGCTGACCATAAGCGTGGCCGATGAGAGCTGTCTCGATCGGCCCCACGGTGGATGCCAAATGTTCTTACCGGAAATCGGTCATAGGGATGATCCGTTTAGTAAGATCGATGAGCCTTTTTTGCTGGTACACTTGATCCTCCAAGGCGGGGTTGGTACATGCAAAAGAGACTCCGATGCTAAAGTTAGGGTTTGTATGATGATTAGTCTCGTATAAGTAATGCACGTACCTTAGTGTGGATTAGGGTTGTTTTGGGCCCTGGGCTTGAGATTAGATGAGATATGATCAGATAATATGTCTTATCTGGGGCGAGATTCTCCGAGATCAGTTATGATCTCCTTGAATGCCGAGCTGACATCGGGTAGCGCATGCCCGAGGTCCTTTTGTGCAGTGACGCCGAGCTTAGAGCTCGGCTTTATGATACGGATAGTACAATAATAATAATAATAATAATAATAATAATAATAATAATAATAATAATAAGAATAATAATAATAAGAATAATAATAAGAATAAGAATAATAAAAATAATAATAATAATAAGAATAATAATAATAATAATAATAATAATAAGAATAAGAATAATAATAAGAATAAGAATAATAATAATAATAAGAAGAAGAATAATAATAATACACATGGCATTTACGCTCTAGGTTGGGACACTCATTACGTTTTACTTTTTGGCTTGTGACACCATTGAGAACATTTGACTCTTTAGGTTATGACACTCTTTGCATTTTACGCTTTGAGTTGTGACACTTATTGTAATTTATTTTCTAGGTTCTGTCACCTATTGCAATTTATGCTTTAGGTTGTGATACTCGTTTCATTTTACGCTCTAGGTTATGACACCCATTGAATTTTATGCTTTGGATTGTGATACTCATTGCATTTTACATTATGGGTTATGACATTTATTGCAATTTACAATTTGGATTGTTACACCCATTCCATTTAACGCTGTGTGTTGTAACACCTATTACATTTTACATTTAGAATGCAACACCCATTATATTTTATAGATTGCATTTTACGCTCTAGGTTGCAACACAAGTCAGTTGCAACAACCATTACATTTTTTTTTTGTTTTTTATTTGTTTTTCTAAATTTTTTTTTCAGATTTTTATATTTCTTTTTTTGTTTTTTAATTTTTAATTTTTAGATTTTCAAATGATTATATTATTTTTAAAAAACTTATTTAGTTAATTTTTTAAAATAAGATTAAATAATGAAATAAATATTAAATAAAATTTAAACAAAAAGACTATTTTTATATAAAATAATAAAAACAAAGTACAACATTTGGAATGTTCCATCACATTTTAAGTTTGTTGACTTGAACTCCCTTGTCGGTAAAGACATATTTTTTTTTAGTGACCTACATTCCTATAGAGAGAACATCCTTTTGGTTGTCCTAGTTCAACCATATCCATTTCAGTGCATATTTTTGATGACTGGACGACCTTTTTTATTTCTAATCTTTTCCGGATTTGGTATGATTTGCAGTTCTTCACAATCCGCACTAGTACAAAAATGACTTTTAAAATCGGGGTTTTAAAATCGGTTATAAGATAACCGATTTTAAAAGTGACGCGGTGACAATTTCATAAATAATGACATTACTTTTAAAATCGGTTCTTGAAGAACCGATTTTAAAAGTTCCACTTTTAAAATCGGTTATCAAAGAACCGATTTTAAAAGTTCACTTTTAAAATTGGTTCTTGAAGACTGATTTTAAAAGTGAAACTTTTAAAATCGGCTATTGAAGACCGATTTTAAAAGTCCACTTTTAAAATCGGTTTCCAATAGCCAATTTTAAAAGTGGAACTTTTAAAATCGATTTTTGAATAATTGATTTTAAAAGTGGACTTTTAAAATCAGTTATTAAACAACCGATTTTAAAAGTATTATCACAGAGTTAAACTTCTAAATATACCACCAATTAATCAAATAAATATTAATAATTTTTAAATATTTTTATTGAATAAAATATAGAGACCCTTTGCCTAATTATTTCATAATGTAAAAATATTGACAAACTTTATTTTAAGTAAATGTTTATATATTTGATTTTATTTTAAAATTAAATTCTAAATTAAAAAATTAATTTAGATTTTCTTGTCACTAAAAAAATTACAATGAACCCAAATTCATTTTAGTTAAACTATTTTCTTTGACAAGATTTCAATTGAACTTTGAAAATAGGAATAGATGAATTCACTGGAAAATAAATTTTACAAAATTAATTTGGTTAAAAATGAATTTTACGGAGACAGCCATGACGCATAAGGCTTCAATGAGGTTTGGCAAACGGTTGGAGTCAAGGGTGAAGCATCTTATAGGATTAGGAAGAATTACATATTTAAAAAATAAAAGACCAAAAATTACGAATTAAATATTATAAAAATTAAAGATATAATTTAATCTTATTTTTATCATATTCAACATTTGAATTTCAATATTTTAAAATTTTCAATAATTAATAATATATTTAATATAAATTATATATTGTAAATTTAAAATATGATTTATAAGTTCAAAAATATTAAAATGTTATAAAATTTAATTATAATAAACTGTATGTGTTCAAAAATATTTATATATTAATATTTTAGCATGTATATAAACATTTACTTTATATGACTATATTTTATATTTATAATAAATAATTAATAAAAAAAATTTAATTATTAATATTTAAAAATACTAAAATTCATTATAAAACTTAATATAAAAAACATAAAATAAAAATATTGAGTGGTTAAAAATAGTTCTTACTTGTATTTATTGTATAAAAAAACATGAACATATGAAAACCTTATAAAGTCACATAAAAGTTAAAAAGGAAGAGGTAGTAGTTATCTTCTAGAAACAGCCTCTAGTAAAGTTGGCTCGGGACAGCTTTTGTAAAAGATATACATATGCCCCTCTTTCTTCACCTGTAAAAGATGGCCATCGATAGCGTTTATGCTTCGTCTCCACCGTTTAAGACCGGGCCATCTGGGTGAGTACTCTTCTTTTTCGCTCTCCTTCCTCTCTTCTTCTTTCATTTTTATTCACTCCGTCATTTTCAGCCACCCGCGCCATTTCTACCTTGCCGTCGATCGCCTTCAGTTCAAAATGGTATTCCTCTCTCTCACACCTTCTCATTCGCGTAACCGTTTCGATTTCAAATTTTGATTGATTAATTGCAGCAAACGGTGGTTGAACTCGTGGATCTGGTGGCTCGATGTCCATGCTTGCCGATCGTCGTCTGTTGCAGCACGCGCGACGACCTCGACTCTCTCTGCTCCTCCCTCTCCGCTCTCCCCTTCCTTTCCTCCTCTGCTTTGGTACATCGCTGACTCTTTTTCTTCCCGTAATTGCCGCGTTTCTTTGCTACTTTGTTGTTGTTTCCTCCGTTTCTGTTTTCCACGTGTCAGTACAGTGACCTCGCCGAAGATGAACGCGCTTTCGTATTGGAGAAGTTTCGACAGGTAACCGCGAGGTGGAATCAGATGAATCACGGTGGAGCACCAAACGAGGACGAGGCAGGGAAAGATGAGAGATCTCATATGATCATTTTAACATCGGTTATGGAATGACCGATTTTAAAAGTGAGACTTTTAAGATTGGTCATTGTGAACTGATTTTAAAAGTGAGACTTTTAAAATCGGTCAATGACTGATGTTAAAAGTTTCATTTTTTAAAATTGGTTCTTTTAAAATTGGCTCGAGAACTGATTTTAAAAGTAAAAAATAACTGATTTTAAAAAGTTTTTTTCTACTAGTGTCGGCTAACAAAATTTACACCAAATAATTCATTATACACATTTAAAACATATTGTAATGTGTATATCTGATCTATGTAAGATTTGTAATCGTGGTGAACATGTTTACATGCGACAATAACATGGGAGCATGACATGTGTAGCTTTTGGAATTTTTCACAGTCACACCATTTGTCATGTAGTCTAACCGTGAAAGTTTCAATAGGTCGTGTTTCCCTTGGGTTAATGGTCTTTTGCACCAGAAAATGTGTACTGTGACAATCAAATTCGAGGACATGATGACTATTAGCCTTTGATTCTGTATCTCTCATGATCCTATTGATTATTTCAGTATAAATTTGGTCAGTCCTAAGTTTAGCATCGACTTCCTTCCCCCTTTGGATGAATAAGACATTATATCTCTTATAAGTCAACATGATAATTGCAGAAATTGGCAAATTTCTTGTTTTTTTAAGAATTGAGTTAATTGCCTCAGCCAAGTTGGTAGTCATGTGTCCCTATCGTCGACCACCGTCCCATGCAAGAGTCCATTGTTCTTTTGGTATGGTGTTGAACCATTCAATTACACCTTCAGTTTCTGGTTCGCTCCTTAACGTGTTGTAGTAGTGTCGCAACCCAAAAATTTCCGATCTTGTGTCCTATGGTTTAGACATCTTTTTGAAAATCTCATCAATTAAGGAATGTTCGGACCCTAGACTAATCCTTAATCAATGGTTTTGAAAATAGGTTCATGGAGTTTCCACCAATTTTTACTCAAAACATTGGAAAAAGAAAAGGTCTTTTAAAAGTCCAATAATGGCCTTGATAACCAGAATTGGGTTCTGGGGTCGGTTACGTGTCGGGAAAGTATTTAGCACCCCTACAACGTCCTAAATTGGTACCCTATGATGAAGATAACATAATAAGAATTAATAGTTTAAATATTTAATCCCCTTTATTAATGATTATTTACATAAAAATTAAATTACAGGGTAAACCCTAAGATATCTACATAATTACATTTATTATAGCAATATATAAAATAAAAGAAGAGACAGATAAAACAAGAGATTGATGAGTAATACCTGGTAGCAAGCTTTATTAGATCTTCAACTATGGAGATTTTAGGTGCTTTGTAGCAATCTTTCACACTACAATATGTCTCACAAAACTCAAGAAATACAATAGGAGAGAGAGAAATTTCGAGCTCTAAGGAGTCTTGGACGAAATTTTTTAGGTCTTGAGAACTGTGCCCAAGCTATCTATTTATAGGCATCAGAAACATTTCCAGAACGGCCCGTTCCAAAACCAGAACAACCCATTCTGGATCTGAACGTTGTGTCTTAATTTTGTAACTGGAACAACCCGTTCTGAAATTGGAACGACCCGTTCCAAAAGTGAAATTAACACATAATTTCCTAGACTCGAACGACCTTGGAACGGCCGTTCCAGTTTTGGAACGGCATGTTCCAGTTTAGCTTTTAGCCCTTCTTTGAGGAGTTTGGAACGCCCTGTTCCAATCTTGGAACGGCCCATTCCAATCTTGGAACGGCCTGTTCCAATTTAGGAACAGCCCGTTCCAAACAAGGGTTTTAGGCCCTTTTTAGGAACTTGGAACGGCCCGTTCCAAATTGGGAACGGCCCGTTCTGGGCCACTAAAAATAGCTGATTTGAGCTTTTGGGCCCTCTGATCTCCTATCCTATTGTTTGCATACTTCGAGAGTTCTTTCCCTTCATAACAAAGGTCCATTTCCTTGTTTGGATGCCCCTGGACGAAATTGGGTGTCTACAGCTGTCCCTCTTTACTTGTCCTTTGGAATAGTAACATGTTGCTTTTCCAAAGGCAAGTAAAGACGTAGAGATTTCGTCCGGGTCTTCTCTTCGTCTCTTTGGTGTTGGTGCTTCTGCGCTGTTTCCCTTAGATAGGTGCATTTGTTCGTATCCTCACCCTTTAGAGCAGTTGTGTACTCTATTGGGTAACAAGACTGACAAACTGTACACCTAGTCTTCAATCTTCGAGTAGAAGCTCCATTGTCTCTCTTGTGATAATGTGTTCCTTTATTTGTTGCTTCTTGAAAAGGGAGTATATTCTGAACTCAACCTCTCCAGGCTGGAATGATATTTAGGGCTTTAGCTAGCCCACTGATGGAAGCTCGACAGCAATCCTGATTTTGACTTCGAGGAACTTGGCGGTACCCTCGTTGTCATTCAATTATTTGAGAGGCTCGACGGCGGCTTTCAGCCAAGTTGGGCAGATTTTAAGGCTTCAACCGACCTACGGTGGGAGCTCGGTGGCATCCCAGTTTCGACTTCAAGGAAGTTGGCGGTACCCTCGTTGTCATTCAATTATTTGGGAGGCTCGACGGCGGCTTTCAGCCAAGTTGGGCAGATTTTAAGGCTTCAACCGACCTACGGTGGGAGCTCGGTGGCATCCCAGTTTCGACTTCAAGGAAGTTGGCGGTACCCTCGTTGTCATTCAATTATTTGGGAGGCTCGACGGCGGCTTTCAGCCAAGTTGGGCAGATTTTAAGGCTTCAACCGACCTACGGTGGGAGCTCGGTGGCATCCCAGTTTCGACTTCAAGGAAGTTGGCGGTACCCTCGTTGTCATTCAATTATTTGGGAGGCTCGACGGCGGCTTTCAGCCAAGTTGGGCAGATTTTAAGGCTTCAACCGACCTACGGTGGGAGCTCGGTGGCATCCCAGTTTCGACTTCAAGGAAGTTGGCGGTACCCTCGTTGTCATTCAATTATTTGGGAGGCTCGACGGCGGCTTTCAGCCAAGTTGGGCAGATTTTAAGGCTTCAACCGACCTACGGTGGGAGCTCGGTGGCATCCCAGTTTCGACTTCAAGGAAGTTGGCGGTACCCTCGTTGTCATTCAATTATTTGGGAGGCTCGACGGCGGCTTTCAGCCAAGTTGGGCAGATTTTAAGGCTTCAACCGACCTACGGTGGGAGCTCGGTGGCATCCCAGTTTCGACTTCAAGGAAGTTGGCGGTACCCTCGTTGTCATTCAATTATTTGGGAGGCTCGACGGCGGCTTTCAGCCAAGTTGGGCAGATTTTAAGGCTTCAACCGACCTACGGTGGGAGCTCGGTGGCATCCCAGTTTCGACTTCAAGGAAGTTGGCGGTACCCTCGTTGTCATTCAATTATTTGGGAGGCTCGACGGCGGCTTTCAGCCAAGTTGGGCAGATTTTAAGGCTTCAACCGACCTACGGTGGGAGCTCGGTGGCATCCCAGTTTCGACTTCAAGGAAGTTGGCGGTACCCTCGTTGTCATTCAATTATTTGGGAGGCTCGACGGCGGCTTTCAGCCAAGTTGGGCAGATTTTAAGGCTTCAACCGACCTACGGTGGGAGCTCGGTGGCATCCCAGTTTCGACTTCAAGGAAGTTGGCGGTACCCTCGTTGTCATTCAATTATTTGGGAGGCTCGACGGCGGCTTTCAGCCAAGTTGGGCAGATTTTAAGGCTTCAACCGACCTACGGTGGGAGCTCGGTGGCATCCCAGTTTCGACTTCAAGGAAGTTGGCGGTACCCTCGTTGTCATTCAATTATTTGGGAGGCTCGACGGCGGCTTTCAGCCAAGTTGGGCAGATTTTAAGGCTTCAACCGACCTACGGTGGGAGCTCGGTGGCATCCCAGTTTCGACTTCAAGGAAGTTGGCGGTACCCTCGTTGTCATTCAATTATTTGGGAGGCTCGACGGCGGCTTTCAGCCAAGTTGGGCAGATTTTAAGGCTTCAACCGACCTACGGTGGGAGCTCGGTGGCATCCCAGTTTCGACTTCAAGGAAGTTGGCGGTACCCTCGTTGTCATTCAATTATTTGGGAGGCTCGACGGCGGCTTTCAGCCAAGTTGGGCAGATTTTAAGGCTTCAACCGACCTACGGTGGGAGCTCGGTGGCATCCCAGTTTCGACTTCAAGGAAGTTGGCGGTACCCTCGTTGTCATTCAATTATTTGGGAGGCTCGACGGCGGCTTTCAGCCAAGTTGGGCAGATTTTAAGGCTTCAACCGACCTACGGTGGGAGCTCGGTGGCATCCCAGTTTCGACTTCAAGGAAGTTGGCGGTACCCTCGTTGTCATTCAATTATTTGGGAGGCTCGACGGCGGCTTTCAGCCAAGTTGGGCAGATTTTAAGGCTTCAACCGACCTACGGTGGGAGCTCGGTGGCATCCCAGTTTCGACTTCAAGGAAGTTGGCGGTACCCTCGTTGTCATTCAATTATTTGGGAGGCTCGACGGCGGCTTTCAGCCAAGTTGGGCAGATTTTAAGGCTTCAACCGACCTACGGTGGGAGCTCGGTGGCATCCCAGTTTCGACTTCAAGGAAGTTGGCGGTACCCTCGTTGTCATTCATTGATTTGAGCGGCTCGATGGCGGCTCTCGATCAAGCTTGGCTAATTTTAAGGCTTCAACCGACCTACAGTGGGAGCTCGGTAGTATCCCAGTTTCGACTTCAAGGAACTCGGCGGTACCCTCGTTGTCATTCATTGATTTGAGCGGCTCGATGGCGGCTCTCGATCAAGCTTGGCTAATTTTAAGGCTTCAACCGACCTACGGTGGGAGCTCGGCGGAATCCCGGTTTCAACTTCAAGGAACTCGGCGGTACCCTCGTTGTCATTCATTGATTTGAGCGGCTCGATGGCGGCTCTCGATCAAGCTTGGCTTATTTTAAGGCTTCAACCGACCTACGGTGGGAGCTTGGTGGCATCCCGGTTTCAACTTCGAGGAACTCGACAGTACCCTTGTTATCATTCATTGATTTGAGCGGCTCGATGGTGGCTCTCGATTTGGATGGTTGTTGATATCCTTTAAAGGAGGACCTTTGAAATCTTGGGTGGATACTTGGTGGTGATTCTTTTTTGATTTCAGGTACTCGACGGTACCCTCATTGTTGGCTTAAGATGGAAAATGCCCCAAGGAGGATGGGCAAGATGTACTTGATGTGCCCTTGTGTTGATGGGCGATAGATGGGTGATAGGGATTCTGGTGTTTCCCCTATCATGTGAGTATTGTGATGCTTCTCCAGGCATCTGCTTGTGGTAGGTATTTTTTGAATTTTATATCTTTGTTTAGCTTCGACTTTCTCATGTTTGAAACTTTGCCTTTTTCTGCTATTTTTTAAATGCTTCGGCCTTTTCAACATGTATGAAGCTTGCATTTTCCTCATGTTGTTTTTGCTTTTTTGTTGTCATCATTGGTGGAGGGATCTATTCCCATGATGTTATTTGCTGAATCTTTATTGATG